CACCACCCTTTTGTGTGGGCACAGAAGAAACTCCTGGCTGGGGCCCAGCCCACATTCTCTGGACGAGAGAGCCCCAGTCCAGGGGACAGCCAGGGTGGGTGTCCCCATCTCGCACCCTGGCAGCGTCCGGCAGCAGCAAAGCGGCCTGATGGGCCGGGAGCAGGGAACCTGAGCAGGTGCTCCACCCTGAGCAAAATACGGCGGCAAGAAAACGGCCATACCAGAATGGCGGCATCCCACAGCACCCAGGAAGCCACGCCTGCCTTTTCCGACCTGGAATCCTCCCAGTGGCTTGGACATTCCCCAGGATTTCTTGCTACTGGCCATGCCGGCTGGGCCGACGAGCACCGACTTCCAACCCGCTCGGCCAAGAGCTCGTTGCTTGCCCTTTGCCTGGGCAGCCACGACCCTGGAGCCTCGCTTCCCTCCCCCGACCCATCGACCCACGCAACGAGTCGCCCTAGCACCCCTTTCCAAGTTTCCATCACAGAGTCTACAGTGGTCCTACGTAACCACTTCGACGCTTTAGATAGAATTACTGTCTTGCTTCTGGAGATGGTAATTGAATCTAAGACATTTACTGTGTCCGGCAGAGCGGATATAGCCCAAATGTCTAGTCCAAAAATATTAGTTAAGAGCAATGTAATTGCTTGGACTGCCACGATGCCCTTGCTCCGAGTTGGTATTTCTCCACCGAGTGGAAAGGAGGGCAGGCGAGATCTTCGTTCTGCAATAAATCGTCGGACGTGCAGGCGTCCCAGGCAATCCGTTCTTTCCTCGTAATTGCTCATTCTCCACGTGCAGCGATGGATTTGCTCCAGCCAGTGGAAGAACCAGTCAAAATGGGGGCTTTGCCCCCGCGGTCTCGCGAGAAGACCTGGAGCCGCTTCATTTCTGCGTGGAAGTTGCTGAGGCCCTTAATGCTGCCCGGTAGCAAAATCAGAAGAGCCCCGTTTCTCAGGGGGTGGGGGGCAAACAGGTATGCTCTCCTTCCCCTCTTGCTTAAATTCCCCCACCCCCAGGCCTGAAGATGCTTTGCAGTGGAAAACCTGCTGCCAGAGGGAAGTTTCCAGAAGCTTCGCTGGCCTTGGGATAGCCTTTGCTAACCTACTGAAGGAGGCTTTTTCACGATCGCCCTCTTTTCAATGGAGATTTACCCCTATGTTAGGGTTAGGGGTGTGCACCAGGGTAGGGTTAGGGTTAGGAAAACGGGGTGTCCTGGCATGGTTCTGATGGTTGGAATGTCTTTAGAGTGGGCAGAAAGGATGAGCTGGGCAGAAAAAGCTACTCAAGGAAGGCTTTTTCAAAATGGCCCTCTTTTCAATGGAACTTTACCCCTATATTAGGGTTAGGGGTGTGCACCAGGGTAGGGTTAGGGTTAGGAAAACGAGGTGTCCTGGCATGATTCTGATGGCTGGAA